AAATTTCAAAATAAAAATCAAATTGTGCGTAAATTGTTTTGACAATACATTTACAGACACTTCGTTTCAGATTTCGCGCTATTTAGAAATTAATTCAATTAATTATATTTTATCTAACCAATACTCGATGTTTAATTTTACATTCACTTGAATATTTTATTGCGAATGCTTCTTTCTATATCATGAAAAATGCATTTATTATTCATAAATATATTTACCTTGTTTTGTATTATTAAAAAAAGATTTATTCATTTTAAAAGAAATTACAAAATAATTGTATTTTCTATAATTGCACAATTTAATACGATATTTTACGTTTAATTGAATTTACATTGCAACATTTAACAAACTACAACATTCATAATTTATAGTAATATATTTATTTTTAAGTATCTTTTCATGCTAACTCTTAACATTCTGTTTAACTCTTAGCTATCTTTTATTTCATTCCATTGCTATTCCATGTGGAATTCTTTTATTCGCGGCATTCTTTTGATGCCTTTGATAGACGATGTTTATTTCTCCTTTTATTCTATAAGTCCCAGACCTTATTTTTTTATCAGACTCCATTTATTTACTTTGTTGCTAAATATTTAGATTCTTTTAATTAAATATTATGATGAATAGGAACGTTAGTTTAAAGAATATAAAAACATCTTTATTGTGTGATTACTGCGCTTTTATCAACAATCCTTCAAATATTTATTGATTTAAAAAGAAATGCACTTGTTCCAACCAAAAAATATGTGTATAGCACTCATAAAATATTTAAATACTTTTTTGTAAAAAGATAAATAGAATGATGCATTTAAATTTGTATTTCTAATTTATGAGTTATAACTTCAAAACATAGTTTTTATCAATTGAATGAATTAAAAAATGGTCTTAATTACTTAAATGTTTATATACAGGGAGTTGTTTTATGTCCCCTTATATTTATATCCACAGAATAAAACTTTTCTATTTTGGATAAAAATGAAACTTAATTATTTTGCTCGGTTTCCATAACAACTCCATCTTCAATTTTTGCTTTTTTGTTCAGTCTTATTTAGAATTTGATTGCTTAGAAACTTCGATAAATGGTTTTTTGCCAAATAAATTTTTTTGCAAGAGTGCGGAAAGTTAATTCCTGATTAAAGTTATTCACTTTAATCAGTATTCATTATTTTAAGTGTACACGTTGACTGGACAGACTTTTACAGAAATCTTGAAAAAATAGTTATTATAACTTTAATTTAAACTTAATTTTTAATTCAATTATTACTAAATTTTCAATCAATATAAATCGTTAATAAAGTTAGTTACCATCTTAAAAATGTTTATCATATTGCATTTTGCGTGATGAGGTAAAGGAATACGAAAAAATAATTATGGATAATAAATTTTGTATTGTATAGTGAAAAAAAACATTTCAGTAAAAAAAAATACGGTATTTGAGCTAATTATTTTTTAGTTTTTCTGTTCATATGGTAACGGTATACTGAACATTCTGGTTTTATAAATTATAGTTCTCATTCACTTTAGTAAAAAATATGAAACTGAATTCGGAAAAGTTTTCAACATTTAAAATGCACAAAGAGCAGAGATTACAAAGGAAGTATAGTGAATTAATGTTACAGGTACACTGTAAAAAAATTCTGTTAAATTTACGGGAAAAAGTGTCAGCTGGTGTGCCAATATAAAGCCATTTTACAGTAAAATATCGCTGTTTTAAATCAGATGCCTACCTTTTACGCAAATAAATGATGTTATTTTGACAAAAAATACTCTGTAATATTACATGTAATATTAAAGACAAAAAATACTCTGTGTATGTAATCTGACAACAAAAAAACTGTATAAAATATGTATGGGTGATTCTCACGAAGCATGACAATTCACTGTCCCTTGCTCCAAGATCTAATACTGTAAAACTAAAAGAACTTTTTTTGAAAAAGAATTAATAAATGGCATTGCTGTTAGCATTTTAAAATGACTTTGCACTAGCATTGACTGCTTTGTATACTTAAAAAATTTAATTTAATATCAAAATGTCATTTTTCTGGCATGTCTCAAACAATATTTCCAATAATAACTAACTTCAAAACTTCCCATACATTTTTCAAAATCTAATTTTTTTGTCTTATCCTATGTAAGCATTTCTAGAATATACGCAGAGGGTATTGTTTACTAAAACTTCGCTTAAAATAATTTTTCCTGTCAATAATTTGTTTGTCCCATGAAAATCTGTCATTTTCCTGGCTACTTTTATTTAGTGATTTATAGCAAAAATAGATAGTGCCAGAAATCAATATCTTATGTTAATAGATTGATTAGATACCCTCCTATCTGAACATGTCTTGTTGCATGAATAAAGAACCAATTTTCTGGCTCAAAATCTATTTCAAAAATTTTTTCAAGAGGAGTAGATTTTTATGCTGTCATTTTCCTGGCTTCTTGAAATCATTAATAGCAAAAACTACATAGATTTATCTGAATTATTTTAAGTAATACTGCTGTTTTCTGCAGAATATAAACGTTTTCGGCCAAAATATTAAATTAAAGTAAAGTTACATGCTATAAAATGGCAAATTTGTCATTATTCTGACTGTCATTTTCCTGGCTTATGAATGTCAGGACATTGAAGTGTTATCAGAAATTCTTTTTAACTGCTAATATTGTAAAGAGGGAAAGTAAAAATTAACCTAATACCAAGTTTATGTATGATTGTAATGTGCTTGGATGTAATCAAAGTTATTTATTTATTTAATGATTGATTATTATACACAATTTTATTCCGTACATATCAGCAAAAAAAATTTTTTTGTTTCTTTATACAGTGGATAAAAATAATTAATTTAAGCAATTTATGGTTCATCTAACATAAAGGCTTAAGTTGAGTTACTTACTATTAACTTAAAATGACTGTTTTTTAAACTTCTAAGGTAATATGTCATTTTCCTGGCATTCAAGATTCGGTGAATTTCTATTTTATTCTTTTTCTCGAGCAAATATCAATAAACTACACTGCTATCTATAAGATATTAATAAGTGTAGCTAAAGAAGTATACAAAAAACATTTTATATTATTTTGAAGACTTTAAATTTAAAGACATTTTTTGATCCGACTTGTCATGTTTCGTGAGAATCACTCTTATACCAGCATTATTGTCGGTGTGAGGGCTCTGCCCCTGCGCAACCGTAGCTCTAGTGTCTCAGTAAAACGAAAAATCTTTAAATTTTGTTTTTATCTAAAAATTCCTATTTATTAAAACAATGCTTAACTGTTGAAACGTTAAAATCTATAGTGTCTCACTCGTATAAAAATGCTTGGGAACTTATTATATATAACAAAGTTTAATAATCAGGTTTGCTATCAATTTGACAATAAAGTCGAATTGCAATTTTATTTATACGATTTTTAAAGCCAAAAGATAATTGCTGAAAAATAAGAGCCAGTAAAAATATAAAAATTATTTGAATAAAATAGAGTTTTCGTGCAGTAAACAAAACTGCATGGCAAAAACTAGAATTTGAATGGTATAACTGTAAGTGGCGTAGTGGAATATCTCGATCCTTATTGGCTGTTAAAGCGGGGCACTTTTTTACTTAAACAACTGTTATTTCCAATTTATTTCAAATAAGTCAAGTCCGTTAAGTATCAATTCTTTTAAGGGGACACTTCAGGTTCAAAATGATTTTTTTTAAATATCAACCAATTTTAATGAAAATTTCATAGATTGTGAATAAAGAATTTAGAAAGTTATTCCCAAAATTTGAAGCAAAAATATTAATTTGTTGAAAAGTTATAATTTTTTTAATAACTTATCCGCAAGTTAAATTACTAAATGTTAAAATATTTCAAAATGTTTCTTGCGCATGAGTTTTTATCGTAGCTGTATGAAACTCATTTATATATTACTTGTCAGTTTGAATAAGTATAAATAAAATTGGATATGTTTGAACAACTTAGCTCTTAATTTTAAACAAATAAAAAATCAAAATATGATAGTCTTTATATAATTTTTAAAAATTGAAATTTAAATAACAATTTAAAGTAATTTAAAAAATATTCAGTGAGTATTCAGCTTTTATTTATATCACATTGGTTACGGAACATTAGACCAATCATATATTTGAAGAAAAAGAAAAAGATTTATTCAAAACTCATGCGCAAGGAACTTTTCGAAGTTTGAATATTATCGTAAAAAACAACATTGAGAAAAACTGTTTAACTATAAAAACAGACAGTTTACATAACCTTGTTTACAAATCTTGAAATGCTTATAACTTTGCAAAAAATGACTGAAATTGAAAATTTCTTCTTTTAAATTGTAGCTAGATATAACTATTATTTTTTGAAACAAAAATTGAAAACAGTATAATTTGGTCAATTTTTGGGTTTTTCATCGTGAAGTGTCCCCTAAGTGACACGTTCTATATTCTTCTACAAAAGATTTAAATTCTTTCACTTTATATTTCATAAACTAAACTCAGAGGTGCGACAGCCCATAGAGGGCCAAGTCTCTTGGGCTCTGGGGTGCAGGAGCAGATGCTTCGGTTAGGTGGTCAGTCGAACGCAAAATCCCCAGTGTTTAGTTCCCAAGCATGCTTGGTACTCATTTATCGACCCACTGAAGGGATGAAAGGCTTACTTAGCACAAAAACAGGCACGGAGAGACAGGCACAGGTAGAACATATACAAATGATTTGTGCATCAAAGTTGTCAGGTACACAAAACAAAAATATATCATGGTTATTATAAAGTGCATAAAAAATAATAAATCTAAGCTAAGTAAAAGATATAGACGAGAAAGAATGATATTGTAACAAATTTGATATACGATTCTGCGTTGTATTTAATTAATTCCTCGTTAATTAACATTCTTACTTATGTGTGGAAACTTAGTTCGTCTTTAACGCGCCACCTTGTTTATAAATGATCGGCTGGCACTAAGGTCAAAGGTCATGTGTCTATGTATCAGTGATCGTCTTGTTCTTGATTTGCAACCCCCAATTGACCCTTTTAATCAGTTTATGATTAGGATGAAAAACTGAGATAAACTACTGTGTCAACAAAACTTCTTTAAACCATCAAATTTACAGAGAAAGCGTGTAAAAAGGACTCGCATTTTTTTTACAAAGTAAGTGCCATTTAATTAGAAATCATCAAATATATTACTTGTAAAAAAAATTATAACTTTCATGTTATTGATTTTTTTGATAACGAAAAGATCTGGATATGCAAGTGAGAAAACTGGATCATACCATAAAATTTTCCTGTCTATAAGAATGTACCAATAACATGGGTAAATAGTTTTATACTACTTTTGTCCTTTTTATTATATAGGTACTCAGTGGCTTATAGTAATGTAAGTAGTAAGTAGTATTTTTGTTATGACTTTAAATTTTAATTACGCTTACACTCCTAAATACCACAAATATACTAATATCCTCTTATCATATTCCTTAAGAAAATATTTATTGTGTTTTTATTGTTTTTAACGTAGTTCTCAGGTATTTATTTGTAAAAACATCTAATGAAATTTCTCTCTAAATTGTTACGTTAATAATTATGATTGAGAGCTTCTTTTTTTTCTTCCATTTGTCTTCTCAACATAAATTTACGCCGTACAGAAGAGACATATGTTACAAACGTTAATGAGACATCTGAACAGTTTTCTTTTCGTTTGTGTTCTTAAGTATTTTTTTTTTTGCAATACTATATTTAAAAAAAAATAGACAGCATATTCTGACTTTATTTAGCTTCTTTCTAAACAATTTCCTTTTATGTTGAATTATGATTATATATGTTATTCTTCTACTTCTTAAATTAACTTTATTATTAACTACATAATATAGAATTTTACAAGCATCATAATATGAAACTTTTACTTTTTTGCTAAACTCTCACATGTTTGTCCGTTACTCTATACACACGGAGGAAAAAACTCTTCTAAAATTACCATACTATATGAGTAGGGCATTTTTAGTAAAAAATCCATAATTCTAGTTATAAAACCAAAATATATAATACTTACAAACCTTTCATTTAGTTTTCAAAATCGTAGTTTATATTACCAAACGTGTAGTAAAAATACAAAACAAAAAATTTACCAAATAAATTTTAAGCCATATTTTAAGGTATCATAATAAAATTACCAAGTTTCACCACATTTACTAAATTTTATCACAAACCATAACACTATATTTCGTAGTTAATTTAACTAAAATTATTGCAAAAGTTCTTCGGTAAAAATTACCGAGCTTTGTCGTGGACCCATTGAGCCAGAAGCACCATTTAACCTTAATTTAACCAGCAATTTAACCATATTCTGGTAGTCTTGACTATACATTTTATACAGTGCATGACACTTCAATGAGGCATTTTAATTTTTTTTATTTACTTTCAAAAATGCTTATAGTTTAAATCCATAATATACAACTTACACCAGAAATAAACAACACTGCTTATTCTTTTCTTTAATTTTTGATCTTTTGAAACTTTTTCAACTCTCAACCGCTGTGTCATTATCATTACCACTTTAAAAAAATTACTCATTTAATTTTTTCCTCATAAGTAGTTTTTTAAAGATATTAAAATTTTATGCTTAACAATTTAAAAATTTTAATTACATTTTCTTTCAGGCTACATGTTGAAGGGACTCCCAACACGCCCTTAAACTCATATTCGAAAACGTGAGTTACCGAAACGGGAGCAAGTATGTGTGTTCAGCTATCAACGATGGTAACAAAGCTAAAACCTTCTTCGTGCTCACAGTTTACCGTAAGTACTTTTTCATAAGTAGTACTTAAAATTTAGTACACCTATTTGCTATCGTTGAAAAACATATCTTATATGAACTACTTATTGAGAAGTAATCTTTAATTTCATTCTGTATGAAAAAGTTTTTTTGTTTGTCGTAAAATATTCAATAGAAAAAATTTGACATTAACATTTTCTTAGAAACTTGAGACTTTTTATTAATAAATAGTTTATGTTTATTATTATAGTATATAAATATTATATAGCTTTTCATATTTACCTACTATCTTGGCAAATTGATTGAGTAAATAGTTGTTATATTCTTTTATTATAATTCACTTGCGATACTTCACTTAATGTAAGTATCGCAAGATAACATTGTATTTATTAAGATTTTCATAATATATATGAATCAAAAACTTTACATTTCATATTTTTAAAATAATTTTTCTTTAAATAAATGACATCCTTTGTAGTTAAAATTGCACCATTTATTTGCATTGTATGCAATAAATTATTGCCATTTGAGAAAATTATTACGAAAATTTTCTTTTTAAATTCTATGTATAATCTCTTTACAAATTAAAATTTTTGCATATTTAATTAGATAGCCAAACTTCACTATTACAGTTTAATAAAAAATAAAGCTTATTTTTTTTAAAGAATTTATAATTATATTCAACATTTATTATTATGGTATTTTAAAACTCTAAGTATTACTTTAAAACGGTATTTTTGAATTTGAATGAGAAATTAAGGGTGCTTGCTTTTTTTAGTAATGTTTTTTTAGCAAACAACTTCTTTTCCTTTTTAGACTTATAACTTGTGATTATGATGATAACTACCTTACTAAATTATCTATAGCCTGAAATATATATGCGAATCATATTTTATTTAACTCTGATCACCTATACATTTCTTAATTTTAATATTCAAATGTATAATTATCTAAAATTGTCTTTAAATATTTCTTGGTTATATTAAATTACTTTTAATTACCTATAATTCAATATTTATTATAAAATGCCTGTACCTTTTACGATAACCGATTATTTGCCAACCGGACTGAGTAGGGGTCAGAAAACTGGCCTTGAATCAGAAAGGTTCTTGGATTGAATCCCGGACGAAGTAGGGATGCTCTTTCATTCTCTGTACTACCTGTCCCTACTGTGGGAGCAACATTGGCCCTCACCAATTATGGTGCCCCTGAAACAGTGGCCAATAAATCTACCCTAATACGCCTGAATTGACGAAATGATAACCCAGGTGGGTATTGGAAACAAAAAAGAAGATAACTGATTAAAATAATTAAATTATCGCAAATTATTTTCCGATTCGTTTTAAACTATTGAATTACCTTAAGATGAAAGCAGAATCAGGAATAGTTTCATACGCTATTTTCAGAAATTGTACATTAGTAAACGTCATCACTTATTGTTTAATACTGAAAAGATGACAAATTTTCAATTTTCAATTTAGAATCTGTCATTCCTTTTATCTTGCTTCATGTTCATTTGAATATATTCACTTTTAGAACTAAATGTTGAAGATATTTTTCTCTAAAGAGAACATATACGGTGCACTAGCTTTATAGAACCACTCAATATGTTTTCTAAATAATCTATTTTCTGTCTGGAAATTAATTCAGAAGCAGTTAAAGTTTAGTGAACAGTTCGACTTTAAAGTTTTCTAAAAAATAATTTAAGGAGAAATACTTCCAATTCATCGATTGAGCCTAAAAATAAATTCCAAAAACTAAGCACCCCTTTCATTTTATTTACAAAAACAGAAAATAAAATACATATAATTTATTAAAAAATAATAAAATAGAATCTCAAAATACTATTTTATATCCATATCCCAAAGAAGAGTACATCGTTAAAATTTTCAAGTCTCAAGGTATTTAATTCAATCAAATCAAAATTATTTAAGATTAATTTTATGTAATATCTGAAAGTTAATTTTATTTCGCTTAGTTAATTTTACATAAAATTTGAAACTTAAAATCATGAAATTAGTTAACACTATTAAGCTGAATCATACTGTAAAAAAGTGTCTATAATCTAAATTGACAATAAGAATTTAGCAGCAGCATTTTAAAAAAATAGTTAGTGGCATAAAACCCAATCAAATAATTGGAATTACCTTGTAAAATCCACTGCTAGACAGACTATCAAAGTTTTTATATGAACATATACATAAATAATCACTAATATCCAATATTTAAAACTTTTCTGTTATAGGACATGCTATATATGAAATCCAACATTATTCGCTAACATCTAGAAGCTTAAAATCACATGCTTAACTGTTGAAAGTGATTTTAAAAATCATTGAATTGTTATCTTTAAATCAGTTACAGGTAAGATGGGATCAAAGAGCCAAAGTTTTCCCTTGAAGAGATTTCCAGGCATACCTTTAAGCGATAATATTCCTAATACCTTTAGAATCGTAAAACCCTCAACTCTCGTAAACACTCTCAACTGCGTTTATCCTTTGCAGTTGGGATCGTCCTTTTCTTCTTTGTCCTTGCGGCTTTGTAAAAACGGAGCTTTTTACGGTGTTTAATTTGGTACAGAATTTATATGTATGCAGCAGAATTTCTCCTTAGTATAGACAGGGAAAACATGTTATCCGGTACATATTTCCTTTATACTATAGACGGAGGAATACTGCAATCCATTACAGACTTCTTTCAGAAAAATCGTCTATAAAATAAAACAAATGGAAATGTAAACAGAATTGTCCGATGATCTTTTTAGAAGAAAAAAAAGAAGAAAAATGCAAATCTTGTCTGGTTAAGAAGTTTGTGAGAAAAGTCGAGATTTAAATAAATACTCTTCAACAGTCGCGCAGTTTTGTTTAAAATATAATTTTCAAAATATTTTAAACTATCATTTTCAATTTAAAACATATTACAACCTTATCGAACTTATTTTTTAAAAAGAAAATAACTCAAAACACTATCATTTCTATATTTTTTTCTCAAATAATTCATGAAACAATAACCAGACTATAATCTAAAAGTGGGTTAATTAATTTTTATGCGCTGTAAAAAAATCTGCATAAAATCAAGGTAAAAAGTACCGGCCCTCAGGGGGCCTGCACTTTTTATCGTAGAATCCATTTTTATTGGTACATGTTACTGGACAAAAAACATCGTATACCGTGATTTTTATAGTAATAATTACCGAAAAATTCACTGAGTCACTAATTAAATAAATATTACTGTAAAAATTACGGTATAATGTTTTAGGTTAAAAATGGATATTACGGATTATGCTCCCAAAATGTATACTTTATAGCGTAATTTGATCCGGAATTCGCGGAATGCAAACAGAGGAATCCTGTTAACCTATACAGACTTTTTCTGAAAAAAAGAACACAAATTTCTTTGTAGTACAGACGTAGGAATCCTGCAAGACAGTGCAGACTTTTTCTGTCAAAATAAAACAGAATTTCTACGTAGTATAGATAGTGGAATCCTATTAACTAATACACACTTTCTATGTATGCATTACAAATTTTTCATAATGCACCAGTAGAAATGCAAGAAACTTTAAAATTCTTTATTCTATCAACTTGTAAGCAGTTTAATAATCACAGGGTTGATTGTTATGTATCTTTAATTTATTTATATAAGATTCTAACAAAATTAAATTGCGTATTTTTTTTAATCAAAATAAAGAATTTTGCTGAAATATAGTAACATAATTGAGCGACATTTTGTTCAAATTCGCTAAATCGCGCTCAGATATAAATTGAAGACCATATATATGAATTAATTACAAATAGTAAAAGCAGTATAATTTGTCGAGATTTTTAGTCAAATCTGTAGAATTTGATTAAAATTGAAAAATGCTAGTCCATTTAAAACTTATTAAACTTTTGAATATGTGGAATTTGTGGCTTGAATAATGTGAATATGTGGAATTTTTCATTAATAAAGCATTAACTTTTGTATATTTTCACTGTAACTGTTATTCATTTTGCGATCAATTAAAAGCGTTTGTGTTCTATCCCTCAACAATCGCGGTCAGCTGGACAGGCAAACACTAATGGTTCTGCTGTATCCAACATACAATCTATACAAAATAGTTAGAAAATGTCAAAACTATGGTTGTTTTGAGACTTCTCATTTTCAATGATTAATCACTAGATTTATTTACTTTTTAAACATTAGACTAATAAACATTATTTTTTAAAAGTATTTAAATTTTTAAGTGAATATTTTTACAGCATTAAGTCTAAAATCAAATTAAATCTCGATAATTTTAAAGATTATAGCTGTTTTAATTGCATTAACAAATTAAAAATCAGGAGGAGCTGAAAATTTTAAATTTCTTCTGAACCCGCAGCTTTGACCTTGACCATTCATAAAAATTTCAATCTAAACACTGAGTGATGATGTCTTAAGTAAGTTTTATTAGAGCTATTTTAATTATAATGGACTCTAATTCAACTATTCTGGATAACACAATGTAAAACTATTAATACACTCATGAATTGCTGCATTTAGGATTTAAAAAAAATTTAATAAATATTTTCTTAACTGCCACAAAAAGAGGCTAGGCGTTGCAAGGGTAGTATTTTTTCAGGGATGATCAAAAGCAAATCTCTTCTGGCAGAATGACCAAAAAATCTTGTCCCCTGGTGAGCTTATTTGAAGTTATCTGTGGTTTCTCATCAACATCTTTTTTTTAAAAAAAGGAACGCCCAAAAAGTTTCCCCAGGAAGAAATTTACGTCTAAAATTTAGAAAATGCACTTTGTAGTATCCCCTTGCCGAGGGAGAGAAAGTTAGAACCCCAGAAAAGACTCCGACAGCACTTTTCCTGAAGCAATAAAATCGAGTGATATTTGAATTATAAAAGTATTTTCCCCTCGGTTTGGCGGGGGATGAGCAGGGAATGATTTAGCAGTTTTTGCCAAAACTCTCCTAAAATAGATGCAACTTCTTATTTACTTATTTTTTATTTAATTTTTCTAAACTTGAGCAGAAGGTTTTACTGTTCCATCAGA